TACTTGCAACCCCTATATCACTAGCAAACCTACTACTATCTATATGCAATATATTTTCTAATCAACACATATACTAATACTAAAAAAATTTTTTTTTTTTTTTATATTACCTGAATCATTTCCAATATCTATCATTACAAACATCTTGAGATCGCAACATTCTATATCTATTCTTTCAAGTTTATGAACATCAAAATGGCTTCCGAACACCACACTTTCTAATTCATCATACCCAACAATATGATCCAAATACAGCCTCTTGAGAAAATCAATCTTTTTACTTCTACACGATATGATCTGATTTCAATTTATCTTTCAGTTCACAACTGCATTAGCATGAAACATTTTAATCATCTGGTGGTTTGTTCCTCCTGCCCCAGCTAAATCCATTCTTCGATTGATCTCCAGCATTATATTATATAATGTTTGCTTCGTGTTTAACTGATCCTGAGTCACTTTATGAGGTTTCAAATTCTACCTAAATGCCTGAAATTCATCAATTTTATCCTAATTCTATTTTCATAATAGAATCCAAGATTCTGTTATTCATTCAAATTGTCACGTCCAACGTCTTTCAAACACCCTTCATACGTTCTACTATCTGTAGTTTTACCTCATTATCATTAGCTATGAACTCTTCAGCACCATTCAAATTTTATATTTTCTCAATGTTTCTACAAGGCATTTTATCATCATATTTATTTTTGTTACTACACCCAATGGAGCTTCTATTAATACCATTTCTTTCTCTTCACTGGCTTCATTATTAAGTTCACCAACAAATCTACTTTCTTGGACCCTTTCATCTTTCAGATCAGATGAGTATTCCGGTTCTTCATCATTTATTTCATACATTTTATCATTTTGATAACAATTTACAACATCAATTGTTCTAGCAACATCACTCTTCGAATAGACTTCTCTTTTAACATCCAAGCTAATGTTCCTGACTTTTCTATTTTCAGCAGGTTCTAAGTACTACACAAACAAATCTTATTGACCTTTAGAGCTATCAACGTTTATATCACAACATGTTCTAAGGTTGTTTCGTCCTTTCGAATTGCAGCCTTCAGCTGACTTCAAATCACTTTCAGGATTACTATGTCTATTCAAATCACTATCCTCATCATAATTAAAGCACCAGGCAAGTATCTTGTTATTATCTTTTCTAACACCATTTCCATAATGGTACCAATGTCCAATACATGTTCTATTAGTATCATTCATATTAGCGTTATTCAATCCTGCTGATTTTTGATAATACCTAGGCCTTTTTCTTTTATCTTTTATATTCATGAACCTCATACATCTTACATCTCTTACTTTTGGTCTTTTGTACTCTTGTTTTTATTTTTCACTTGCGGCATTTGCACCAGATAAGAAAGAGCATAGTGTTCTACCTTTCTACATACGTAATACAATCATGGCCTTTGGGTTGGTGCTTTCTTTTCTTGATCTCTAGATCCTTTACTAATACTGTAATAATTTTTATTACAAGCTTAATTAGAGAGATTAGGCAGTTCACGCAGGTCATTGTGGTTCATTTTACCACTCAAATATGTATTGCTTTTTGTTTTTTTTGTTTTTTTTTGTCTTTACCTATCTACTAATAATGTCCTTTCGTATTTTTCTATCCACTAACAATTTCCTTTCATATTTCTTAATAATATACATCCACTTTACAATGCACTTTATCACACCGTTTCTAAACTCAATTGCCACTGAGGCACTTTAATCACTGATCACGGCAAAGTTCAGTAACTACAACCTTTTTGGGTTTTTACGAAGTTCAAATGCAATAATTTTGGGCGAGTAAGGCTGTTACTTGCCCAGGTTTTGTGTCAAATACGATTAAGAGATATGGGGTCTTCTTCACTTCTCAATATGAATTACATTTGCTTGGCTTTCTACACAGTCTGGGGTTAATATTCCAGGTACTTCCATCTCTTTACTTTGTTACCTTAACTACTACGACGACCATATAGTGTATATTAAATTGGAATGTCTTTTCAAAGTAAAACTTAATTATTAATTTTTTATTATTTGAGATCGCAATATTTAAATACAAGATTATCTTCAGATATATTATTATCTGAGTTACACATATTAGACTATCACTAGATTAGACTTTTAATTAATTCATGCAAATCTGTTTATGCAAATCCGCATCACACCACTATATAACTCCTAATCCAAATTGAACCAGTACTATGAAATCACAGGGTACCAGAATTCACTATGACAGTGGACAAACCCAAATTTGGATAATCAGTATTATAGCTTAGCCAATTTAATAAAAAAATTTTTAATTTTTTATATAGTTTAAAGTACTTCGTATTCTTGTGATTTTTCAAAATCTATCAATTAAAACTATTTCAAAAAGAAAGCTAGCAAAAAGACTTCTACATAATCTACCTTGTATTAAAATTAATCAAAAATAATCATAATATTCAAGAAGTTTTATTAGAAATGAATTTTATAAAAGATCAAAGGTAGCTGAATTCATAATTCAAATAAAAAAAGATTTTTGGTATTAAAACTAAAATTAAGCAGTATAAAACTAAGTTTTAATATTTTTTAGAAAAAGAAATAATGAACCCAAAGTAGTTCTAATACAAAAAAACAGAATAAAAAGATAAGTTACTTGTTTTATATGGTTTAAATCTAAAAGTTTATTACAAATAAGCATGTTGTTATTTTGTAAATTAAATTTTAAATATCTACTACAATTTAAAATACAAATAGAAATAATTTAGAAATGATCTAATGAGTATATTTATTGAATAGATAAAGTTGAAACAATATACATATATTTATAAATAAAATTTTATTAAAAAATATATAAGGAATAAAGGATTATAATATTGTTAATATCTCATATTCTAGTAGATAGGATTTGTTAAATCTTATACTATTTGATTTGTTCTATTGAGACAAATTAAATGGTATAAGATTCATCAAATTCTAATTACTGAATCATTAGATATCTTTGATTTAGTAAATATTGCAGATAATAGTGAAATCAGATCATTGTGAAATCTAAGGTCTTAATTTAAAAATATAAGCCCTCACAACTCTAACAAAACCTACTTATACTCTTATTATAAACTCTAACTCTAAATACTAGTTTAGATTTAAAACAAGCCTAAAAAAAATATATCTCAAAAAATTTTAAAAATTAGAATTTTATGATGATCTGGATTTCATGATCATCTGTAATAGTAAATAAAGATCTTTCAGACATTATTGTAATATTTTAAAAATTGATTAGTTAATTATTACATGTATCAATATGACTAATCATCTAATTTCATATGATCAATCAACCTTATACTTTTATTAGGCAGATTGGTCCTGAGTTATAAATTTCAAATTTGGAAGGTTGTATTACCAGGATTGTCCATCATGCTAGTTTTTGTGCCAAGTTTGTCAATTATTGTAGCACAGATTTTCTGATCTACAAATTAAATTTCAAGAATCAGGTGTAATATAGCAAAATCAAAAAATTTCAAAACAATTGTTTGTTTTATTAAAAATTGCCTATTTCTCAAAAATCTGCAAAAAAAATCACCTTTGATACTTTAACAAAAAAAATATTTCTTGGGTGATTTTACTATATAATCACCTAACCACTAACTTTCTTCTAAATGCTAATACTGATATTAATAATCTTTAAAAGATTTTGCTTGTGCTATATGATCACAAAACCTAATACAGAAAATCTACATGTATCAATTGTTAGTAGTTATATCAAATCATCAGGTTTCATCAGATGAAAACTTAACAAACTATTTCTTTAGTGCAAAATTGCTTCATCAAATATTATTAGATGTACTAAGTAAAAGTATCAAAAATGCGATTTTACTATATATCAATTAACCTCCTAACCTAAATCTAATCTTACCATAATATTAATTTAAAATCAGAAAACTGGAAGGTGCCAGGCATTAAACATCCCCAAATCTAATCAAAAGCTGTATGATATACTGAAAGAACTAGTATATAAATTATCTCTTAAACTGTTTGTCAATTGGGGCAAATTTGCCTCAAATTTTTTAATGTTTACTTATACTTTAACTATAACAAAATAATAGAAAATATGATACAAAACTTTACACCACAGTATAAAAACTATTTATTTTGTTATTTATATTCATGATACTCAATAAAACAATCTGAATATTGTTTATTGAGACATAAAGGCAAATTATACACTGTGCATCACATCTGACTTTGTGGTGAATTTTTATTATATTTCTCTTGCTCTGCTATATTTTAAACTAGAACCAAATGCAGAAACTACTCTGTTTATGATATAGGTATTAGTAAAAGAAAATCTGTAAACCAATTCACTAATTTTTACTCTGGTGAGCTCAGCCTCTGAGAATCTGATTTCACATAATTGTTCTAGTAATTTTGGTAATACTATTTATTACCATAATATATAACTAATTTTTTGAGTGCTTTGATTTTGTATATCATTATAACAATTAATTAAAGATCTTTTTTTATACATTTTACAATACTTTTTTGAAAGCTCAGATAATTACTAGAATGATGATTGTATACATATTTCGATTATATATCATTATCATAATATCAATTTTTCAAGAGCTGAGCTTGTTAAAGTGAAAATAAATAAATTGGTTTACAGGTTTTTTCTTATTAACACCCATATACTGTATAGTAACTTTGTGGATATAATCATTCAATTACTTTATATATGTAGATTAACTAATAAAAATTATGAAATTTGTTTATACAAATTAGCCTGAAGAAGTCAAAAATCAGAAAATAGCAAAATAGTAGTCAAAATCAGCTTTAGTGTATTAACAAAAAAGATCATGAAAGCAATTTTATCTATATACCTACCCTTATCTTAAATATTGACTAATTCTATTTTAATTATAATTAAAACTTCATGATCATGTGATTACATGTTTTTAGTGATCCTTCAAAAAAAAGGAACAATACATTATGTTACACTAAAAATAAATAAATTTCTAAATAAGCAAAGTTAGAGATTTTTAGATTAAATAGACAAACCCATTATTTTTTTATGATACAAAGTACTATATGAATTACAAATCAAATTTTAAAAATTTGGAAGCAAATTTGTAGAAGAAACAGTTTAAGAGATAAATATCATTACTTATATTCTTGGTTTTTAATACAACAGTATAATATATCTACTTAATTATGTAAATAAGTGCTGCTAAAAGAAAAAATACATATTTTTGTATAACAGAATGCAGGTATTGAAAAATCTGAATAATATATAACTAATTATTCAAGATGTTTCAATTATACAACTAATATACAATTTAGTGAAACAGAGGTGTGGCAACTTAATGAAGTGGTGAAGTTGTTGCACCTCCAAGCAGTTGAGTACAAGTTCAATTCCCACTGTAGACAAAAATTAAATTTTAAAAAATGGATTCAGTAACTATTGTCGTAGCCAGAAAAACTCGAGACCTGTAACTGTGGTAGTACTAATTTATCAGAACTGGAAGATCTCAGAGCCTTTGTGTGCCATATGAGTTATACAAATTGATCTTTGAATCACAAAAACCATAGGGCTGATACGGCAGTAGGGTACTTGCTTAGCAAGTTCTGAATAGAGAGATAATACAGATCTTTGATGCTACTATGTAAAGGATGATCATTGAAAGAACCAGCAAAACTAAATGAGACTGAAGTATTTGGCAAGACACTCTATCAATCAGGCTACCAGAGGAGTAACTGGAGTAAAAAGACCCAACTATGTAGATCAGAAGCAGGTCACATTTCTGGGCCATCTGAATTAATAGTTTGGGATAGTTAGAGATACTATAAACGGTCTGTAATGTGTGTATTGGAGTTTGGGTAAACTTTATAAGGGCAGAAGTATGTTGTGTAGAGGTGATCAGACAATAGGACCCAATATAGAAACTGAGGTACAAGTTTAGGCTTTAGCTTATACGTATCAACCCAAGACTAGATCAGCTAGATTGTGAATATAGAAGGCTCTAGCAGGTTTGTTTTAAGAATAAAGGGCTCTTAGGGCAAAGAGCCTATCTTAAAATCCTAAGTTAGTATTCGAAACTAAGGATATCTGCAATAGATTCTTGCTCAGTTAACAGTATAACTATATAGATGCAGAGGGTTTAAATAGATAACTCTCTAGTTAGGTTATAGGTATAATATCTGGTGTAGAATTTAGTAATAAGCGAACTACTTAAATAGGCAACCAAAAGTTATACATGTGGCTAGTTGTACTCTTCAAATATGTATATAGTATGAAAATCATACTGTAAAACTTATACTATAATCGAATAAAGGTACATGACCAAGAGGTCATCTTAATATCAAAAAAAAATAATAATTTAGTAAAACAACTGATACAAAATTTATGTATGTATGTATATATACAGTGATATATATTTTGACTGTTCAAAGGCTTTTTTGATACTGTTCAATGTCCAAATATCCAAGTATTTAAAAGTGTCCAGAGCATATCTAAGCTTTAATAATTAATAAATTTGTTTAAAACATATATAACTGAATATTTTTTTAGATGCTGAACACATTTTATTTAGAAAGTAATATAGATTATCTTAATAAAATTTTAAGTAATTTCAATTTATTTAATTGTTCAAAATTGTCCAAAGTGTACAAACTCACTGTCCACAACCATCCTGTGACAACACTATATGTATGTATGTGCAACTTTGTTCAATAATAGTGAAGAATTTTGAATTAAATTATTAAACTTCAACTCAATATATAGAAATCTTTTATATAAGCTATAGTAGAGTTTTTTTTAGCTGATAACTACACTATAATGAGAATGAATTGTATTTTTTTTTATTTTTTATTCTTTTTTTTAATTTTCTCAGACCCTTCTAATTTTTCAACCTTTTCTGATAGTTCTAAATTTGAAGAGATTTGTGTAACCCCATATTGTATTCAATTTGCTTTTATTTTGTATTCTGTTTATTTTGTACTTCTTTTGCACAATTTGTTTTTAGATTTTTAATTTTTTCTATCACATTATCTTGTGGTTTGGGACAAAGCTCATTACAGAAAGCAAGCAGACAGTATAGATAAATTTTTTTTATAGTTCAATTTGTTTCTCTTCTAGAAGACCTTTTGGAAGAAGCTTTTGATGACTCAAAGCCATAATATTAACATTTTATTTTAGTAATTAAAATTCATTCCAGAGGTCATTAATTCTTATTTTAACTTTTATAATACCAGGTTTCTCACTGCTAAATTAGAAAAAATGATATTTTTGTATAGCAGAAGGTTTATAGTATAATATACTAAGTGCTGATATTCAATCATGAATGATTTTAATTGATTATTCAGATTCACAATATATTGTTATTTGCATTTTTATCTATTATATTCATTAATTAATTAATACACCAAGTCTCAGATCTAGCATATTCTCATTTTGAATAATTAAATCTACAATTAACCGAATTTCTGATATGACCTTTGATTTGGAAGTGATATTTAATTTCTTCGAATATATGAATATAGCATATCTAAAGAAAATACTATAGAAGATAAGAATTCTTATTCTGGCTGCTACAATTATCAGCCCATAATCAATTTTTTTTGCTTCACCTGTAACTGAAGTAAAAAATCGATATATAATCAAATTAATATTATTTGCTCCTTTTGAAGCTTGTTTTTCAGTATAAATTATATAACAATGATTATTAATTCCTTTATCCACCAAACTGAACTAATATGCTTTTAGTAATAATAAATAGTACTATCTTTCAGACTGTTGAGAATTATGAGGCAATTTTATATTTTGAGTAAAGTCAAAGGAAAAAATATGAAAGGAGGATCGATTGCATATCTTTGTAGTTTGTATATCATCCTCATAAGCATTTCTCATTGCCTGATAATTAGTTATATGTTCTAATAACTTTTTTTTTTTTAACCTGTCGGCAGCCTTGCCAGTATCTTTATTAGATCAAAGTATATATATACATATATTAACTATCTAAGCTACAGATCCAACATTTCTTAGCTATCTCTAGGAGCACCCAAGAACAGTCTGCCTCACTAGATAAGGCTTGTGCCTGTACTGGGGACTGCACCAAGCTAGCCTGCAAAACTATACCAAAATAGTTTTGCTTTATTTACAATATAATTTTTAATCGATGCAATCAAGTCACTTTTTTTTGTTTTTTCTTTCTCTTTTCCTTTCTCTTCTTTTTTTTTTACTTTCACTTGGTTTGTTCTTGATCAACTGAAAGCTCCCTAGTAGTCTTACATAGCTGCTTTATGTTAAAACTTGAGCTCTCAGCATTTAGATTCTATCTTCTTTTTTTTTTAGTATTAATATCTTCTTCTTTTTCCTATTCATTGACCACCAAGCATCTTTGCTTCCAAATATTCTCATAAAAAAAATTCTATGCTAAATTCACTACCGTTTCCAGATATCTTCTTGCTTCTTTTAGCGGCTTTATAATATCGATTAGTTTTCTAAAAACTTCTTCCTGAATTAAACCCTTGAGGATGCCAGCTCTTGTTCTGATTCTTTCTTCTTTGGATGAGCCCCATAAAGTGTTCTTGAGTTGAACTTTACTAAGCTAACTTTTTGTTTCTGTAGACAGAACTGTCCAAGCTATATTTGATACAGTTTGTTCTAATTCAGTCTATCTTTCTTTATACTTTTTATATTTTGTAGATGGGCTTGATCTTCCTCTTCATTTTTCTCGCAAATTACACAAAAGGGGTTTTCATATAGATCTGGTCTTCTAGTAGCCAAGATTTTAAGTACTAGTAATCTTTCATGTAGACACTTAACTAATACCCCTAGCTGTTAGTTCTTCTTTGAGCTAGTGCATTTGCTTCTGTTTTGGCTTCTAATTTTTCTCCACAGAATTGGCCAGTGATTTGTTTCAAATGTATCATTTGGTTCTTCTTTTTGTATCACAGATAATGTTCTCTATTCTAAGCTTGTTTAGAAACAAAGAACCATTTGGATAAATTGTCTAGAAGGTTTTTCAACTATTTCGCCTTCCCAACACAGCAAGATGTTTGACTCTTGGGGAGCTTTTTCTACTATATTCTCCTTATTGTCTATTTTAGAACCTAATTTTGCTAAACTATCTGCTAAATCATTCTATCTATTATTACTGTGACCTTTAACCTTTACTAATTCTGGCTAAATTTCTTTAATCCTACTTATGTATTTACTAAACTATAATTTTTCTCTTTAAAAATTTGTCACATTGCTCTTCTTTTTCTCCTCCTTTTTATACTTTCTATTGCCACCGCACTGTCTGTATAAATTTTTACTTTCTTTTCCTTAGTACCAAGAGAAGCACGTACCAAATTTCAAGTAGTTCTGCTTTCATCATTGACAGCCAATTTCTTGCTCTGAAAAAGCCCTCATTTATCTTTTGGTCCTCGGTTTCATTAACTTGTACCCAGCTGGCTCCCATCCTAGCTGGTTTACTCCATGTAGTTATATTTCTGCTTCTGAGAGATCTATCAGTGTAAAATATTATTTGAGACAATGGTGGGCTTTTCTTCATCTCCGCATTTCTTTCTATGAGATCCTCCTTCATTTTCTTGCTAATATATTGCTTCTTAATAATTTCAATGTCCAAGTCTATATGTTCTGATAACTGTAGATCAAGGTCTTCATTAATATTGTTAGTAATTTTTTTTAATGTTCACTTGAACAATGTACATTCATCACACACATTCTTGGAAGGTTTTCTAATTATAATATTGCTAAGTTTAGGATCACTATTTTATATTGTTTGAAAAATTCTACAACTTTTGATTAAATGATCAGGGTTTTCTAAATTATAGACAGCTAGAAGACGATCATAGGAGTAGTGAGAAGGAAAAAGAATATTATTATGCTTCTTATAAGTTACTGTTATTTAACCTTTGTTTTTTTTTGTGTATATTTACAAACTGCTAATGCCTCTCCATGTTATTCACTTATCCAATTAATAAAAGATTTTGCTTTATCAACTATTTCAGTAAGTAAAGTAATTTTGGAAGAACGACCAGTATTACCATGAGGTTGTGATAACATGGCTTTACATTCTTGAATCCACTTATTAATGTTATCTACTGTGGCTCTGCCACATATTCAGAATGTTTGAAAGAAAGAGTGACAAACTATATCAAATATGGAAGCTAATAGTCTCTAATATAAGTTCATTTTTCATATAGCTTAGAAGCTATAAGAAGCATCATCGAATAGTATTGTTGATTCTTGTCTATTCGAAAACTTCTAATACTAAGGATTGTAAAAGGTTTGATAAAACTTTTTGATACAATGATTTATACAACATTTTTTAAGTTTATTTATTAGGCTATTCATGGCTTCTTAATCTTTTTCATCAAGCTTACTAATTTCTTCACATTTTCTTAACTCTGATTCAAATTCTTCCGATTGAAGATCTTCATCTGATTCAAATTCTTCGGATTGAAGATCTTCATCTTACTCAGGGGTGACAAAATCCAAATTATCAAGAAAGTATTCCACGTTTGGAGAAATAGTATTAGAGGATTTCATAGTTAAATCAAAAATAAATTATAATAATCAACTTTGATAAAACAAAGCACATGTATTTATACCAACTCATTTCAAATTAGACAAATAAATTTGAATAATTAATTTATTATAACGATGACAAACTTTTTACAGACTTATTACACAAATTGAAAATGCGCGTTTTTTAGAATCATTCGCTTAAACTCTAATAATTCGTAATCAATTTATTACAAACGATATGCTTATTACAGACTTATAGAGATAGAAAATTGTTTATTTTTTTAAAAATTATTCGCAATAATACATATTAAAAAAATTCATATTGTTAAAAAAAATTGCATGATCAAAAAAAAAAATCGCATAATTAAAAAAATTCTAGAGATCACATTATGGGACTGATTTGTCATACCGAAATGAATACTGTAGAACAATTATCGAACATTCTATATGATCACATTAGGGTGTGTGGCACGGCAAAAAAATTTGGCATGCCACATGGCATGCCATCAGCCAAAATTTATGCTATGACACACTATGGGCATGCCATTGGCATGCCATAATATAATTGAACCATCTTCTGGAATATTTCGGACCTTTGCTCTAATTTTTCTCTTGTAATTTTATATTGTCTGATTTTCTACTCGGAATATTTCGGAATATCCAAATATCAGTTTAGCCAGAGCGAGATGTATCATATAAGTGGCATGCCTATAGACTATTTTTGTTTTGGGCATGCCCATGACTATCGTGCCACACACCCTAGATCACATGCATTCTAAAAATCATTTTTGAAAGTCCACATTCTGTTACACGAGAATGTGTATTTTTTCTTTTAGCGGCACTCAAATAATTTCATAATTACGTAGTATCTTTTAATCATTAAGTTAAGAATAAAATATATATATATTTATTTATTCATTTAAATATTTAGACTTTTGCTGAGAGACATCCATTTGTCTATGTTAGTTTATGTATTAATTATGTTTTGCACATCATACATTGCTGTATTGTTATTCATTATGTTCGAACGAGAAAGCATGTGTCCAAATTACACCATCAATCAATCCTCTTACACAATTCACAGTCGTTGCGTTTTTTGGAACTGTCAACGTAAATATATGTTTGAGATCAGAGCAAACTCCTCTCTAAAAAATTTATTTAATAAATTCAATTCAGAAATCGATTATAAAGAAGGAAATATAACAAATTAATGAATATTAACGAATCATTCATTTTTACCACATCGGTTGCGTCAGCTATTACACCGTTTTCGCATCTCATTCTTGTAAAAATTCGATCTAAAAAAATTTAATGAGCATCATTATCATCAAAATATATAATACGGTGTAAGTTTTC